GGCTTTATCCCTGAATGTAAGAATATTTCACTTTATAAAATCAATCCATGAGTGATATCTCATTAGTAGAATGAAAGGGGGAAATTTGATTGATGTAGAAAAAGTATTTGAAAAATTTAAATATACTTACTTGGTTAAAAAGATTAGTAAATTAGGAATAGAAGAAAACTTCAAGATGACAGAGGCCATATTTGGAAATCCTTAGCTAACATTCAATGTAATTGTGAAAGAACACAATCTTCCTCCTAAGGGTTGGGAACCAAACAAAAGACTAGTTTCATACTTTTATCCAAAATAGGATTGAAAGTTCTAGCCAGATCAATTAGAAAAGAAAAATAAATAAAAGATGTCTAAATTGGAAAGGAAGAAACAAAATTATTCTTGTTTTAGATGCCATGACATCAAATGTAAAACCCTCAAGATTCCACAAAAATACTTTTAGAGCTAATAAAAGAATTGGATATAGTATATAATACAAAATCAACACAAAATCAGCTATATATCTAAACACTAACAACAACTATCCAAAAAGAAACTAAGAGATCAAGTCCATTTTTAAATTTATTATTATTATTATTATTATTATTATTATTATTATTATTATTATTTGGATACCAGGGATTCAACCCAGGGGAACTTAACCACTGAGCTACATCCCAGCCCTTTTTAATATTTTATTAGAGACAGAGTCTTGTTGAGTTGCTTGGAGTCTTGCTAAGTTGCTGAGGCTGTCTTTGAACTCATCATCTTCATGCCTCAACCTCCTGAGTTGCTAGGATTATAGGAATGTGTCACTACCCCTAGTGACAAGTCTATTTATAACATTATCAAAAGATGAAAATACTTGCTAGGTGCAGTGGCACATACCTGAAATCCTAGAAACTCAGGAGGCTGAGGCTGGCCTTGAACTCATGTGTTACTTAGTAACACTCTTTATAAAAATAAAAAATAAAAAGGGCTGTGTATATAGCTCAGTAGTAGACTGTCTCTGAATTTTGTCCCTAATATTGCCAAAGAGGGAAAAAACCCGAAAATATATGGCAATAAATTTAATTGAAAATTATAAATCTTTGCTAATAGAAACTGGAGAAGACATAATAACGTGAGGAGACATACTCTGTTTTGATTGAAAACAAATGATAATATATATACTCAATAAAACTTTTATTATTTAACCAAAGATAATGCTCAAAGTGATCCACAGTAACTCCCAGGAGACACATGATTTTTGCGTTATTATTTGCATTCGTTTAGTACACCTTTTATTGAATCTAAAAGGTGCTGTCGTGAGATAAACTGGGCCATGCAAGGGTACTCTTTCCTCATTAAGTCCTAAGCTTTTTTACACTAAAGCAGGGAGAATCTGTTCTGCCTCTTCAACTCAAACTGCTGAACAGAAATGGACCCACATTTTGAAAGGTCAGAGGTGTCAGCTCTGTGAGAAAAAACGAAGTCAAAGTAAGACCAGGAAAGCAGTTCATTAGACGCTTAGCTCAGAGTAGGACAGCTCATTTGAACAGAAACCTTCTTAAGCTAAAACTGAAGTCCCACCACAAAATAACCCAGTAACACACAGATCAGGGATTGTGACAGATAAAAGTCGCCTTCTTTACAAATTTGCTTAAACCTTTATTAAATATGACTATTTCTGATATAACCATATATATGAGACTAATCTTTCCAATTCAACACTTAAATCCAAATCACTCAAGTTACTATGATTACATGATGCATATTTTGGAAATTTGAGATTTTCCCTAACTATCCTCGGTTTATATTTAGACTCTACAGCTCAAACTATGATTGTAGAAAAAAATACCATTTAAATATCTGTATAAGAAGCTTCTCTTTTATAAAATTGGATTACAATTCACAGTAATTGCTAAATTTAAATGTTATATATATATATATACATATATATATGTATATATATATATATATATACACACACACACACATACATACATATATTCAATAAATAGATTTGTTGACATTATTGATGCGTTAATTCAACCTCTATGTTAGTAACTATTTTCCATGGCTTTTTAGTGTTGAACTTCCTTTTACTTTAGTATGCATTTGTGTGTGTGTGTGTGTGTGTGTGTGTGTGTGTGTGCATGTTTCACTTTGGAAACCTTTGAATTGTTGTAAGTAGTCCCCTGCAATGCCTCTTCACTCAAACCTAATCATTGATTTAAAATACTATTTTTTGTCATGCATGTACCTTCAGAATGCCAGGAAGAGGGAAAAATCTGAAAAAGATGTGACTTGGTACCAATTGGAGTGGGGAAATAAAAATATTTGAGGACAGTTAACGATGATAAGTCTGGTATGATACAATTTTAGCAATGTTCCCATTTCAATCTGAAGGTATAATGATAGATATGGGTGTTCAGATCAAATAAATTATCACGTTATGCTTTGGAGCATGAAGTACAAAACCATACTTGAAACAGGGTGTTCTGCCCTAGATCGCACAAAAATGAAGGGCTTACACTGAATTGTGAATATCTGTTCCCTGTTGACAGAGTCTCTTGTATTTTGCCATTCAAATAAATATTTTTAATGAAAATTTTTCCAGATGTATAGGAATATTAAAACAATTTTAGAGTGAATACCTGTAAATCTAGATTGAATCACTAACATTTTATATTTTTATTGAACATACTTAAGGTATATAAAATGCTCTTATATATACTTACATTGTGAAATACTAAGTAGTCAAACAGATTATAAAACAATATTATTCCAAAGCTCTCTGTGTGTGTGTGTTCACGTGCACTTGTATGTGCACATGTATGTGTGTGTGTTTATGTTAAGAATACCTAATAGCCATTCTCTTGGTAAATTTTTAGCATCAATACAAAGTTATTAACTATAGTTCTGATGGTGTACATAGATCCCTAAGACTTATTAATCCTAAATAATTGCAAAGTTTTACACTTTGACTTAATTTCCCCCATTAACCACCATTCTACTCTGTTTCTACTTACTTAATGTTTTTTTAAAAGATTCCACATGTACTTTATCAATATTCTATTCACCTACCTGTCCATTGATTCATCTCAGATGAAATTCAAAGTAAACGGTCCTCATCAAAGCCCTTCTATCTAAAACTTCTTTATGCATGTCATAGTTAACACTTCCCAAATCCCTATATTTTGACTGTTAATATTTTTTTGGACCAAATCAGGCGTGCTCCAGTCTTAAGGACTGTATTCTAACTTCTCTTTTTCCTCTTTTCCAAGATATTCACTTGATCAGTTCTCTCATATCCCAGTTTCCAAGTAGAGCAGTTCTAACCACTGGCGTTAGTACTACACGGACTACCACCCCTCCCTTGGCAGTTCTCTATGAACACAGTCGGCCTGAACTTTGTCTTACAACCTTTAGCACCTTCTTTCTTAGGATGTCACTTACTTGTTGATTCCATTCATTGTTTTTATCTACTTCTCCCTAATTGTTGAAGGATTGTTGGCCCATCTTACTCCCATCCACATCTGTATCCAAGCACTCATAACCAAGTCTGCCTCAAAGTTGACATCCAGTAAATGCTATTTATTACATTGAAACTGCATCCACGGAGGTACTCTGTGTACATCTTCCCAGGAAGATATATTTATAAAAATATGTGCTACTACATGAAAACATCAAAGGGAAATCCCAAGGTTTTCATTTGGCTTTCTCAGGATGAGACAATTTATATATGCAATCTGGGTTTTCACAGAATACAGCCAGCTACAAGGAGACTGAGCTGGTTATCAAAAGGGCTGTATTCAACCTTCAGTTTTATTCTAACTGGAGCTGTTTTCTTTTTTAAATTTATTCTAATTTGTTATATATCACAGCAGAGTGCAATACATAAATGGAGCACAATTTTTCATGTCTCTGGTTGTACACAAATCAGAGTCACACCATTCTTGTTTTCATACATGTACTTAGGGTAATGAAGTCTGTCTCATTCCACCATCTTTCCTACCCCATATCTCCTCCCTCCCCTTTGTCCTATCTGAGGTATGTCTGTTCCTCCTATGCTCCACATTCACCCCCATTATGAATCAACATCCTTATATCAAAGAAGACATTTGGAATTTGGGTTTTGGGGACTGGCTTATCACTTAGCATTATATTCTCCAACTCCATCAATTTACCTGCAAATGTCATGATTTTATTCTCTTTTAGTGCTGAGTAATATCCCATTGTGTATATATGCCACATTTTCTTTGTCCAAGGCTTCTAGGTTGGTTCCACGGCTTAGCTATTGTGAAATGAGCTGCTATAAACATTGATGTGGATGCATCACTGTAGTATGCTGATTTTAAGTCCTTTGGATACAAACCAGAGTGGAATAGCTGGGTCAAATGATAGTTCCATTCCCAGTTTTCCAAGGAATATTGAAGCTGTTTTCTCTAGCAGGTAACAAATTAAATCCAGGATTTCTAATATTTATACAGTCTTCTAACTTCACAATGAAGCTTAAAATTTATCTACATTCTCAGAATATATATTGTTTTGGAGATTTTGGTATGTTCACTGGATATTCATTGGATGTTTACCATGTATCAAAAAGTCACTGTTTATTGAAAAATTATTCTTTTTTTTCTATCTGGTAGACCCTGGGAAACTGAGTACCACATGTTGTTAGATCATGTGGTTTAGATCTTATTCCAGATACAGGAGGATACTACGGTCCACAAAGCACGAAAGTTTTGTTTTTATACCAAATCTTTTCCTTAAACTAGGAAGAATCAGCATTATGTGATCTAATTCTTAAAAAATAGTGTTTTTAAATAATTGTAAGAATAACACATGGCCATCTTTTCAAAATCTTTCATTACTCTCATGAAGATTACAACTGAAAAAAAGATAATTTTCCTATAATTTAACAGTAATTGGATGGTCAATTTAGATTTGAAAAACAGGTCTCATCCACTTTCATGCCGCTTCAGTAATTTTATGGTGTATCTGTATTCTCTCTTGATCTCAAAGTAAAAACATAGTTAATGCTTCTGCAGAATTTACTTTATTGACAAGCGAATCAAGGGAAATACATCATCAACTCCTGAAGATCCAGATAGAGTAGAAGGTATGTCTTTACAAATTCAAGGGATTCGCTGAAGAAAAGTAAAAACAGAAGTAAAGGAAGATTTGAGAGTCGGCAAGCCAGAATAAAACACTGGCTATATTTCAGCATTTTCCTGGATGCTTTAGGATAATCTTCCCATCACTTTTCCTAAAAAATAATAAAATAAAATTAGAAAAATACATCCTCATTGCAACTTCCCAAGTACTCAGCACAGAGGTTGGAAGCAGGTTTAGCTATGGCATGTCATGGTCCTTCCACGCATTATATTCTATAGATACCCATATCTATTATGTAGCAGAGGTTAATTAAATACACTCACAAGTGACATCTGGCCTAACTTTGGAGAGCATAAGTCTTAAACAAATCTCAGGGATTTTTTGTTGTTGTTGTTTTGGTTTGGTTTTTGGTGCTGGAGATTGAACTCAGGGGCACATGACCACTGAGCCACATCCCTAGCCCTATTTTGTATTTTATTTAGAGACAAGGTCTCATTGAGTTGCTTTGTACCTCACTTTTTTGCTGAGGCTGGCTTTGAATTCTCGATCCTCCTGCCTCAGCCTCCAGAGCTGCTGGGATTACAGGCATGTACCACCATGCCTGGCAAATCTGTTTTGATAAGACTTGGATCTTTCAGCACCAATTGCTCATTCTCAGTGAGGAAATAGACATACATATGGAAAAGGCAGAAGTAACAGAAGGAATAACAGCAAAGAGACTCTGGTGTCATAGTTGTATCCTGACAGAAGATGTAAAAAAAATGAACCAAATATTCATGTATTTGTCATTTTCTAGAAGACTACACATTCAGGACCTCTTATTAGTATGCACCCATTAATTCAAATTTTGTTCTACCCCACTGACCTTCCTGAGAAAATTCAGTATTAATTAGTGAGTTATGTTATACACTAACCAACGTGTTCATTAGAATTCTTGTTTTAAATTAAAAATAAATAAAAATACAAGGTGTCAAAATTATTTTTAGGTATATGATATATAATTTTTAAAATAACCTAAAATAAATCAAAACTAATAATAACAGAGTAAAGTGATGATAATTATTTTTAAATTATTTGTTTTTTGTTTGTTGCTTTTGACAATTTGTTTTCAATCAATTTGCCTGAGTCTTGTTTCTTCAGTCTCTATAGTGAGGTATGGATAGAACTTTCTAAAATGCTTCAAGAAAAGCATCTCAGTCTTATTCTGGAAGTTTTTGCTTGCAAGGGACAGGTGTGGTGAGTATGACACTTACGCCACTGCCTTACAGAAGGAACATTTATTGCCATATGTCTGGCCATCGGAGCCACAGTGCGGGTTGGATTCCCGAGTACAGAATACCTTGGGATCACGGAACTCTCCACAGTCGATCTACAAAGTAAGCACAGTGACATTTACATCAGCACCTTCTATCTCAAGGACTCCTCCAAACAGAAGTTTTGGACAGCGAAATTTTAAAACCACACACAATAAATATATATATGTGTGTATATATATATATATATGTATATGTACATACATGTGTGTATATGTGCATATATGTATACACACATATATATGCCACAAACATATATGTGTATACATATAGATATATGCATGGAATTATACATATATATACATATTTGCAATATATATGTATATAAATAAATACATATATGTATAAGTACATATATAAGATATGTACATTTACTTATAGATGATGCATACGTATATTTGTGACATATATGTATATATAGTTGTGACATAAGAACTTCCTGAACTAGAGAATAGCTTTCATTATCTGCTTATGTAGAATACATTAAATACAATTGAGACATTTTCTTTAAGACATAGGAAATTCCTTATAAGAAATACATTGTACTATTGTATTCAGGAATACATTAACAATGTCCAATGCTATAGTTAAGAATTTTTTCTCCAACAATAAATTACTCCAACTGAGAGCAATTTGGGGGGTCATTAAATGACAGTTTGAAAAACTGTATTGATGTGCTCTAATAATACTTTTTCTGCATACTATAAAAATATAGGTGGGCTGGGGCTGTAGCTCAGAGGCAGAGTGCTTGCCTTGCTTGTGTGAGGCACTGGGTTCGATCCTCAGCACGACATAAAAATAAACAAATTAAATTAAAATAAAAACATAGGTGATCCTTTCAAGGACCCCCAGACATTACCTAATGTTTTATAATTTTTTCAGTGGATTCAGCATCACTTATTATCCCTTGAAAATCAGAGTCTAATGTCTTTATATTAAGTTATTTTGCCTCAAAGTCTGTTTGTAGAATTTGAATTTTTGTGCCCACTACAATAATTTAGTAATGACTGCCTAAGTTGCCGTGTTTAGAAGAAGTCTGAGGTTGCCTTTAGTCTTGTTGAGACTATGTATTTTGACTGATTAATAACCATAATCATGGGAAGGAATGATGTCATCTATGCACTAATATTATTGGCTCAATTATAGTAGTATTTCAAAAGGAGTCTGACATTTTAATGCAATGTCAATTTTTGGTGAATGTTGTGCAAATAAATTTGTGCCTTTTTTTGCAGGGTACTATCAATATGAAGTAGCTTAAACTGATTGTCTTCTAATAACAGCTATGTGCATGTAGTGGCATTTACATGTGAATGAAGGAAACTTGCTTTATCTCTGTTCTAGTTCCATTAAAATGTTTTATAATTATCAAATGCTTTATAATATTTAGTTACTTACATATAGATTACTTCAGTTGGGCCTAGCAATAATCTTGAGAGTTCTATTAGCTATATTTTAATAATCAGTTGAGAGATGGGAATTCTGGTTTTCTGGAAATTTAAGTGGCTTCCCAATGCTTGAACATATTTCTTCTCATTGCTGGTTCAGAATTTCCAACGGGAGAGAATTGAAGATCAACTATCACTAAGTGCGCTTGATCGCACTTGTAGTCAGGACATGTAGGTTTCATTAAAATAGCTTATTAGGTCTCATATACAACATAAGGATTATCAGTCCTTCAATTGTACCATCTGGGGGATTCATGATAAATGAGTATATTTTAGCTGTTCCTACACCAACACAAACAAAACTCGAGTACTTATTTGAGGTGATGGATATGTTGACTATGGCCATCCTTTTATTATCCATATTTATCTCACAACATCTTGCTGTATATCTTGTACACAACAACATTTATCTAAAAGATAATGTTGTGGGAAAATATATGAACACTCAAGAGGAATCATTTTTTAAAAGATATTAGCAAACCACTGTACACTAACAAATTTATCTGAAGGTTTGCATGGGAAATTTATCATTGAGTCATACAGTTAGGTCAAAAACATATTTTAAGTTTAAAGTACCTAAAACTGCAAACTGCACATTTTTGTTGAAATTTGACACTAAATACACTTGAGTCTGGATAGTGTGGGTCTTATCAGCTCTGGTCCTTGTTTTCCCCACCACCCTGAGGGATAATCCTATTCTTTCATCCTACTTCCAGAAGACAGATCGTCCCCTTGGGTTTTGAAATGGACCCAAGGCTGGACAATCTTGAGACCTGCATAAATTACAGGGCACCTTTATCTGGAAAGCTTATGTATTTTATATTTAAGTCACTAATGTCTACATTCACAGCAGTGTGCTTATTTCAACGAGGTATCATTGTTGATATTTTATCACACAGTTCTGGGTGCTGGTCATCCAAAGAAGAATTGGTAACCAACACTGTATCAGGAAGCACACAGTCTCATTTGCATTAGAGCGGCAAAGAAGAGCTGGGATAAGGACAGGGCCAAGCATGATAACTGCTTCACTGGGACCAGCACAGGCAGGAGGGAAGCTGAGCACCAGGGGGCTCCATTTAGAGTCTCAAGACAGTGAGCAAAGTAAACAAGAAAGTCTCTTACTTGAAAGAGACGGTTCCTTAAGGCACCTTTCCCTGGCAGGCGGCCCTTTGATCTTGTGATCCAGCCTCTTTTGTCCTTTAAAAAGCAGATATGGAAGAGGCACTTGGGGAGAGCATCCACTTTGAGAGCCTCCAGACCCTGCCTCCCTCAAGCCCATTTGTTATTCCCTGCTTATGTCCCCTGGAAAGGGGACCAGGAGGAAGAAGAATTTCAGTATATCAAATCCAACCAATCAGCATAGCTCCTTAGAACAGATGGATTTCACTCCTTTAAGTTGCAGTGGTCTGCAGCAAGTACGTTCTGCTGATGATTATGTGTGTCACCTTAGACGAAGCACTCCATGCTCAGGCCTCAATTTTCTTAGCCAAGTAACAAATGAACCAAAGAACATTGGATCTTCCTGGTTCCCAGAATCTCAGGGTTGTTCACAGGGGTCAAAGTTGGTCATGTAAGAGTTGTAGACAGTCATTGGGCACCATCTGAAATAGTTCTGGATTAGAGTGTAGACAGTAACCTTCTCACTTGAAGTCTCTCCTAACTGAAGCTCTGAAAGGCATCTGCAGCTCATAGAAACTGGCTTGCCTCTGAGATTATGTGTTTTTAATGGCCCTTTTTGGTTTAATGGTCCAAGACTTAGCAGTGACTACTTTCAGTGAAGCAGCTCAAATAAAATTCTCAAGTTCTTCAGTTGGGTGAAAGAAATAGCAACTTTGGCCAAATGCTTCTTCTTTTATATCTAGAGAACTCTCTGTATTCACTGTGTGAGAAATTTTAGCATGGTGGCCGGGGACAGAAGAAGTACCACTCTCTGTGGGCCCAAGGAATTGGGGAAGATGAGAAATGACTCTGCAGAGTTACCTATGAATCCCTTCCATGAGGCAGAGTGACACAAGAGAATATTGGGGCTAGAAAGAGAAAACAGTTCTCACATACTAGGGAGAAGTAGACTAAGATTTCCTAATGTCATGCTTTTCCTTTGCCAGAATTTCTTCTCAACTTTTATATTTTTAATTTGGGCTCCTTTAAATAAAACCCAAATAACTAGTTCCTTAGTAGAAGTCAAAGCAGGTCTAGACAGTAGATGATGGGAGGATTCCTTTTCTCCTTTGAAGTTTCATGCATGAGACAATTAGAAGACCCAGGAGGTCTGCAGTCCCTCTAAATATGATTAAAATGCCCCTAATGCTTCTGAAATGTTAGGGGTTGTCCTAGTGGATGGAATTAGAGTGACCTAGGTTTAAATGTTGCTTCCTTCATTTATTAGATGCATTACATTGTGGAAACATTTCACTATTCTAAGTTTCTTAGAATAATGTCATGATTAATTCTATAAAAGCACTTTGTAAAATACCAAGTAATATGTGGAAGATTTATGTCGTAAACACTAGCTATGTAAATTGTATCACATTCCAGAATTTTGGGAGCTCATTTTTATTCATCGTAATGATATTTATCGTATTTTGTGTTGTTTAGGTGGTGTTGAATTTAAGAAGAAATTTCATTTATCGACTTTGGTGTTACAGTTTTAAGACTATGTCAAGGCTCAGAAGAATGATATTTAGTATCAGCCTGACCCCTTGTGGTTCTTCAAAGAACTGTAGTTTCTAAAACATTTCAGAATGGAGTGAACCTTTCAGTTCCCATAACAGTCAACAAAACCATTGACTTAGTTGAAAAATTGAACTTTCAGGGTCATCAACCAAGTCAACTAAAGACTTGTGGTCACAAATATTTTAGTCTAGCTTTTTAGATGAACAAATAAAACCAGTGGAAAATTGCAATCTCACAAGCACACATGCATGCACATGTAACTACATAACACACACACACACACACATACACACACACACACACACACACACACACGTGCTTCAAGTGTAGGACGACATCTCTTTTCCCCAAGACACTATCTTTGCAACTAAATCAACTCCATCCTTCACCAGACCAGTTTTCCTAAGCCCCTAATCCTTCTCTGCCTTGATGTCCCCTTCCCTTGCTTTTTCCAGCTCCTACTCTGCTGAAACTGTTCTTTAAAAGATGCCTCTTGGTTATTTATAAAAAGTTTGTGATTCCCTATGGTATGTACTTTTAAAAGACTCTTTATTACTTCAACCTTTTAAAAACTCTTTGTAGTGTTTTGTAATATGTCAGTTCTCTGGTTCCCCAACTACTTATTCTCTATATAAAAAATCTCTTTATCCCTCTTTGGCATTAATCATGTTTATTTTCAAGATAATTTAATACACTTGATTTTCTCTAAGAACATGTATTTTTCCCAAAGAATACTGATAAATCCCAGACTTTTTCCTTGAATTTCATCAACATCTCAAACTCTAATTCTGAATTGTCATAGTATATGACATCTCTAGTCAATAACTTGACTCATACCTTAATATGTATTTATGTCCAAAATATAACTCTGTATCTTTCCCTCTAGTTTTACACTTTTTTCCCCATTTTTCATAAGAGCATCATTCTTTAGATTCCTCTGCCTGTCCTCAGCCTGAAACATTGCCATTTCCTAACTCTTGTAAATTTCCTTTTATATATATTTTTTTAACCTCAATAAGACTGATTTCAAATTTACTACCTGAACTAGCTCTCAACATTATTTGCCTGAACTGATAGAGTAAGTTCTGCTTTCTGTCTTCTTCTCCTCCTGGTTTCAAAACTTTTTTATGTGAACAGAAAAGTTATTTTGTACTCTTGTTTTTGTCATATTTTTTGCTTCAGAAATTATGATGAGCAAATCTGTAATCTCAGTGGTTTGGGAGGCAGAGGCAGGAGGATCTTGAGTTCAAAGTCAGCCTCAGCAAAAGCAAGGTGCTAAGCAACTCAGTGAGACCCTGTCTCTAAATAAAGTACAAAATAGGGCTGGGGATGTGGTTCAGTGGTCCAGTGCCCCTGAGTTCAATCCCTAGTACTAAAAATAAAAATAAAATAAAAAATTAAAAAAAATAAAGGAAAAAGAAATAAAGAAAGAAATGATGATGATCACTATCTCATATTTGTTTAGATAATTACAGAGCTCAAAGTTATTTTCCATGGCCTTCTATTGCTGCTTCAAGCCCTGGTCATATGGATCCAGTGGTCCTGAGGTGTTGGTTTCCCGGCTGCTCTGCTGCTGGCAGACAAGCCAGCCATATCCTCTTTCTGAGGCTTTGGTTTTTCCATCTCCATTTAAGTTGTAGATACTGGATAACATCTCCAAACCACACTCAGGTATCTGTAACTTTACTAATTTTAAGTAAAATCAAGGTAACTAGGACCATTCAAGAGTCCTAAACTCATTCTAATCATGGAACATTGTTTTTACTAGTTGTTTTAAAACCCACCAATATTTGTCTTAAAATAAAAAAGAATAAACAATTATCTCAAGAAATATTGCACAGAATATATTTGTAAATCATTGCCTTTGAATATGTTTGCTCTGTTTGTTCCAATCAGACTATTCATCTAAACAACACTTTAAGGATATGGTTCCCAAATACAGAGCCTGGTAGGAAAATAGAAAACTTAAAAGCAACGTGAGTAATTAAAAAAAAATTATTCAGTTCAAAGGACTATTTTTTTCTGAGAATGTCTTTTAAACTTTTTGATGTTGTTCCACAATTTCTTTAATGAAATGCTTGCTGTAGTAAATAGTAGTTTTCTTTTACTGTTCTTATTAATATGTTATTTAAGACCAGTTTTCCTAACCCTCTAATCCTAGGGAAATGAAAGACTTGGTCAAATATGAATCATTTACATTTATAGGGAAAACTTTATTGGAACATGAATTCCCAAAGTCTGGGAACATGCTCTCTGTTGACCATGAACAGTCTTTATGAAAGAATGTGAAATGCTTAAAGGTCTATAATTTAAATTGCTAACTATAATCTCCCATTAGATGATTCATCATGGAGAGAATTCTTGACACGCAAAGAATGACTTGAGTGTTGAGATGGACTTCCTTTGGTCTTGTCTGAACCTGACCTGAGCAGGCATGCTCCTGCCTGATGTGAATTTCCTTTCCTGCCCCAGTTTCCTTCCAGCCATGCAGAAGAGGAAGGGTAGCCATGACATGGTCAGCAAGGGCGGAACCTTCCCTGTCCTTTCTATTTAAGTGGAGGAAAGACAGCAGTCTTGACAGGTCAGGCTTAGTTCATAGTGATTCAAATATTTAGTGGGGAAAGAGGTCTTAGAGATCATTGAATCCTACCCCTTATCTTAAAGTTGTGGCACCAAGGCAATGGGAGAGAAGATATGTTACCCAAATCAAAGAGCAAGTGAGTATTTGAATTAGGACTCATCTGCATTGTCTGGCTCTAAGGCCAGTGCTTTTCTCTGTACAGATTTCTCCTTGTTACCTGAGAAAAGAGCTCAGATTTTATTCTGTATGTGTGTCACCTAGATGATAATTTAGAATGAAGATCCAGACACCCTTGCCTCTCCAATTATTGTTCAGTGTCTTGTAGGAGGATCTATATATCTGAAAAACATCTCAGGTGACCCTGAAGCAAAGAAACTATAAGACTTCGGCCCATCTAAAGGAATAAAATCAGTAAATAGTGGATTTTACATAAACTTTAGAAAACATGATTAAAAATCTGAGCAATGAAAGTCCAAAGAAAGGAAGTGATTTGTATGTTAATGAGAAAACTGGGATTGTATTTCATGCCTCTTAGATATATCTCATTTCTCTTATCACCATATTTCACTATGTGAAACACAGGCTGAGTTTTATGCTCTTTTCATGTGTGTGTGTGCCTTTATATTTAAGGTAGAATTGCTACTACACTTATTAACATATGGTGAGTCAATTTTAAAAGAGCAATACAAACACACATGCATATATGTGTTAAACACACAAAAACAGAGGTAATTAATTGTAAAATATCACTAATTTTAAATTGCATCTTAATTTCCAAGATGATAAATTTGAATCAAACAAAGTGTTGTGCAATATAATGGGTATATTAGGGTTGGAAAGTATTTTTCAACTTCTTTGCCAACTTCAGTCAGTTGGCAGTAGTGTCTGGAAATTTGGATGCCAAGAGTTCTTAGATACACCAAGACTAAACAACAACTAGTGTAGTCAGGCAGAGCGTCCTATGCGTATAACCTACTTGTGGGACTTTAGCAGGAGGATCAAAAGTTTTAGTCCAGCCTGGGCAACTTAGCAAGACTCTATCTCAAAATAAAAAATAAAAAGGACAGATGATGTATCTCAGTGGTAGAATGCCCCAGGATTCAATTACCATTTTTTAAAAACCAAACAAAGAAAAAAACAAACAAAAAATAGTGTCTAGATCATTGAGGACATAAGAGTAGAACTGGCAGAGAGGACAGCACTTATTTATATCAGTTTTTGATAGTTAGATCATGAAGGGTAGTAAAACATGTTGAATTAATTGAAAGAAAAAAAAGCCTAACAATGAAAACAAATTGTGAGCGTTCCAATTTTCAACCCAACATTGTGTTTAAATTTGACTGTGCCAGTCTGTGTATCTTCAATTCAGAACGTTAATATTAAACAAGTTCTCTACTTTCAGCTCTTATTTCTAAAACAGAAATGATATTGCTGTCCTAACTCCTCCAGAGGCTAATTACTAATCAATAAGTAATCCACATGTAACTTTTATAGTTTCTCAAATACTTTCATAGAGCTTTTGCAAGTCATATATACTTTCAATTCTAGGAAGTGAATAATAATATTCCTTTTCTTTAACTATCGAAATTGCAGCTCAGAGAACCCAACTTCCCCACCCAAGATCACATAATGAAATCAGGGATAGAGGCTAAATTTTATCTCATATCTGTCCTATTTTTAATTTATATTCATATATTCTGACAAAATATACGAGTGCATACATAGGCTATTTTAAATTTAAAATAGTGTACTCGTAGAAAGATGGTAGTTTTAAAAAATCATCATTTCAGTTGATTTCTGCATTGGGCCTGTCTGCTCATTGTTTTGCTCTTTCACATCATAAAGAAAACTTTTAGGCCAGGGAATACCAACCGAGCACCATCCAGGTAAGAAAAATAGATAAAACTAAGCACTGACCTGTCCTCCTTGGCTGACGACACCTGAAAAAAGTATAAAATACAAATATATAAATTCAAGCAATATTTTTTTGCATGTGAAGATTGAGATTTGCAAACTTAAGTAATCCCTAAAACCTGTTCCTGGCTCTTGTCTATCTCAAGAAGTTATGGCATGTAGTTTAAATTTTTATATCTGCTCACTTTTTTAGGGAGCAGAAGAAACTTGGAAAGTTATGTTGTAAGGACACGGGCCATGAAGGGGCAATATTTATTGGAGGTTAAGGTGAGATGGGAGAAAATGGTCTAAGGATCTGAAGATGTCTGTGATACTACTGGCCTAGTAATTAATTGTCTATGAGGATGGACTTATTCTCTTTGGTATTATTTTGGAGAAGTTGGATTGGAAAATCTCCTCTAACATTGGTATTCCCAAATGAAGTCCATGCAGTTCCTCCCCAAAGCCTTTGTTACAGAGTTGGAGAGTCCACTTATCATTGAGCTCAGAACTGAAATGCTAAAGTTTAAGCCAAATAAATGGTAAGGACCAACCCATTCCCTTCTCTAGGCCTCATTTCTCCTTCCACATCTCTCCAAATTCCTAAAAGAGGAAAACAATACACATATGCAATCTTGTTTCTCTTCCTCTTCTTCCTTCTGAACTAGACTGCATGATTTTAGATTGTGAACAGTTAGTTCAGAGGTTAAAAACTGAAACAATAAAAATCCTAGGTCTAATCTTGGTACAGGCTGCTGAGTTTGAGCCAAGGCCATCTCGTGAGAATTGTGGATGAATGCAACACATCTGCAATGCTGGCCATCACTTAAGAGAGGACAGCTGGAAATACCTCAAAGTGCACTCTGTGTTGATGAGGATAAAGAAAGAACAGAACTTTTAAATTCGAAAGGCAGTTAGTAATAATTTCCATCAGTGTTCACCAACCTCGTGGATTCATAACTAGCAGAGTAGTAGGTGGTTATTAAACATACTAGTTCTTTGGACAACCCCTTGAAAATTCCAAGATAGGATCTGGGAGTCTATAATTTGGTAAATACTTTCAGTGATTTTTATTGCCTAGGAAAATTACTACAATTAACAAGTAATTCTCCTTTGTGCAAATATGATTTTAATTATTGCAATAGAAAAAGACATTTGTTGAACACTTACTAAGACCCATCCACTCTGTTAAGCACTTGACATGCATTTTTTTCTCATTTAGTTCCCCATAGAGAGGTAGTCCTTTCATATCCCATTTTACATATGAGAAAAATGAGGCTCAGAAAGATCACAAAGCCATAAAATGGAAATGCCTAGACTGAAAATCATCTTTCTCTGTTTCAACATTTTGACTGTTGGGCACATTGTGCTCCCAATAGTAGTATGTTTATGAAGTACCCATGCTTTGATAAATTTGGCATATAAATCAATCAGACACTATTAATTATCAGTTCATCTTTGTAAAGAGAAGCAACAAGAAGATAGCAACATATTTCAGGAACTGTATTTGCAACTAAATCTTAACCTAGTCAAGTCTATTTTTTCCTCCCATATCAGGAATTGATTAAACTACTCATTAAAGTTATTTGACATTAGTAGTCATGTTTAATTCGTAACATCACAGGAATCCTTTATCCAGTTCTTTTCATATTTTAAATGTATTTATTTATGTAAATATGTCCAATGACTGTGGGCAGAGGCTTCTCCAGAAGCTAAGTCTCATAGAAAAATTGATTCTAGAAGTTCAAGTCATTTAAAATCTTTTATACACCAAAACCCATCTGCTATTGTCACAGAAAACAATAGCTCATACATGGAAAGTGCAAGGGCTTAGTCTCATTTCTAGCATTTTATACAAGAAAGAATAACTCATAGAGTTTAGACATTTCTCCATTGACAGTTACTTGTAGAAGAGATGGGACTAGATGTTGCTTGGGTCTAGACACCCTAGTGAACACACCATCCACCTCAACGTAGAAGACTAGAATAATAAGGAAGAAAAATAGTTACAAATGGTCCTGTCCATTCAGGTAGACCTGGTACCTAGAAATCTTTTGTCTCCAGAGGAAAAGAAATCATATTGAGGTATGATTGTCTTTGAATTCCTTCTGTTGATAAAATATACAGCTGTTGTGGATTAAGATGGCAAATATATCCCCCTGCTTAAACATTGTTTAATTCACAAAAAAACATGTTTCTGCATTCTAAGGCTCAATAACTTCAAGAATTTCCTTATTGAGTTAGCATTTCTCCTTTGTTTCAATATTAATTATTTGAGTGCCTTTGTAATAATAACTAAGGACACAAAAGCTTTCCTTTGTCTTAGAAAGCCAAGAATAAAATTAAGGTCAATATTTTAAAGCAATTACCCATCCTCCAGACTAGTTCTTTGAAGCAAGCATAAACTGTGATGTCTACAAGATCTGGATTCAAATTAGAAATTTTATTTACTATTTGCAGATACTCTGACAATTTTCTTAACTTCTCTGTGCCACAGTTTCTTATATATAAAACAGGGATCTGAACTCCTTATACTAATGAATAAGGAGATGATACATAACAGCCCTTAGTACATGCCTAGAGTAGAGGATATGCTCGGTAGATGGCAATTCTTTTTCACCCTCCTTGTCACCATCATCATTTTCATCATCAGAATCATTATCATCCTCATTATGATGATCTATCCTAATAGGTCTTTCATATCAAAATTGTTAGAATTTTAAAATAGGGTGAAGAACCACTCTTCTCATCTACAGTTCAGTATAATACGGGGTTTTAATTTTAGGAAAACAACTCACCTGAGAAGAGGCAGAAAAGAGCCAGAGAGAGGAGCAGAAAGACACCTGATAGTTTCATGGTGTCAGCTGGCTCACTCAGATCAAGACTGCTTTGTTGAGCTTAGGTTCTCTGTCAAGACACTTCCCAGAAAGCACTACAACTACATGCTCAGACATTTATATAGACAGGATAAAGGGAGTTGAGATCTCCACCTTCTTTTATAAAAATCACTCTCTAAACCCATATGCAGTCCCACACACTTTAGGCATTTATGAAAAAAAAAATGCTGCATGTTCCCCATCCACCTTAACAATTAGGACAATTATGTGAGTCGCACCTTAGATCTTATTAATAGAGGATGTTATTTTCTACCAGTAGCCTACATTTTCCTAACAACTGATACATCCTCCCTGTTCTTCCCTCTAAAGCTTCACTACATTAAAGGGATGACTCACAGCTGGAGCTGCACTTGCTCCATACGTGTCTCTTTCAGACAGGTCCCTCATGTCTGTGGTCCAGATGAGTGACTACAGGGAATGGAATCCCTTGGGCGTAACTTGGATTTTTGGAATCCAAGTCATCCAAGTGTTGTACCTAAAATGAAGAGGAGTTTTACCTTGTCACCAGAACGTCATCAGAACAAGTGTATTCTGGGAAGGAACCAGCTTGTTAATTTTAAATCATTATTGCAATCAAATGCCAGTGATTATCATCTTTTGAGGCAAAATGGATTTTACTTTGTTGAATATTATTTAAAAATTACTGAATTGAATACCTGAAATAAGTAATATTTAATATTTCTGTTTATTGTGAAAAAATAAAAATTAAATAGCTATGATAAAGATTTTTAAATGTCACCTTCTTAGAAAGTTAGATGGGTTTCATAACTACAATGGCCAATTTGATTATAATAGGCTGGATCACACAGCAGGATGCCAGCACTTTCTTTGCAAGGAACAAAGAAGGAATAGTGAGAGTGATAGCTAGAAAATCTGTCTTGAGACATAAACTGCTATTTAAAATACCTTAAGTAACAAAATAACAAGTTAAAATGTGGGAAGATTATATAAAAATGTGCCCAAATGAAATATAAGCCATTAAGTAATATAACTAAATAACTGGTTTTCTTTTAGTTGTTTTGAGAAAACATATACACAGTTCATATGTGTTTCTTTATCATAAGACATTTGATTTTGGAAAGCTGTTTTTTTTTATTTTAACTTGATTTATTGCAATATTTAGGATGAGGGGCTGGGGATGTAGCTCAATGGAAGAGCTCTTGCCTAGCATGCAGAATGCCCTGAATTGAATCCCCAGCATTAAAAAACAAATGACTTTCAATATTTAGAATGACTTTTATGTCTTCAAAATGGGAAGATTTTTTTTATTGTGTTTGATGATAAAGCAATATGTTACTGCTTTGATCCAAATAAAGTGTGACTGTGATAAAAACAATTATGTCCTTTTCATTGTTTTTTTTTGATAATTAAAAATAAATAAAACATCTGAGTAGGAGTAAGGGTGTAGCTCAGTGGTAAGGAGAGCACTTGCCCAGTATTCTGGAGACCCTGGGCTTGGTCACCAGTGCTGCAAAACAAAACGAATAAAAATCCCTGAGCATAAAGAGCAGATGAAGGAAGGAAGGAAGGAAGAGGGGGCATGAATGTGAGAGTGAGGAAAGGCCCAAGGAGTGAGAGGAGGCTTAGGCTTGGCAAGTTCTAAAAAAGTTTTCACTCAAAGGTATTGTAATCTCTTTCTTTCTCTCTCTCATCCACACAACCTGAGCATCCCCCACAGAAGGTCGTGAGTCAGATATTAGGCACTAAATGCTTTGAAGAAACTAATGAATAACCTTAAAAACAATATCTAAATTATGGGATGAGAAGGGTAGGGATAATTAGAAAAATAACAGTGACAAATCCTTAAAGAAAGCCATGAAAATTTTAAATAATAGTGGAACAATTCTACGTATTCTCATTAGGTGAGATAATATAAGAAACAATTCTTTGAAACAGCCACATTACATGGTCTTTGTTTTGGTGATGCTACTACCTTCCTCCTCCTCCTCCCCATCCCATTTCCAATGTTTCCTCCTCTTTTTCCCATCTCTTTTTTCCTCCTGGGACTACCATGAATAGGGTCAGTCTAATGATAGTCTCCAGTCCAAAGTAACAACAGTTTGAAAGCATTGACCAATAACAAGAAGCAACGTATAACAGTGGTAGTTGGACATGCTTCATCATAACACTCACAGTGGCCTTTCTAGAACTTCTGTTTAAACCTTTTTCCCTCTTCCCAAAGTTTCATTTTTAGTCCTTACTTCTCGTGCTTTGCTTTTAACTTTTTATGGTTTGAGTCTAGCATGTCTTCCACAGGCTCATGTGTTGATGACGTGGTTCTTAATACCGCAATGTTCAGAGTATTTGGTGAGGGCAGTAATTGGATCATGAGAGCTTTGAGATCATCAGTGGGTTAATTCATTGATGAGCTCATAATTGCATGGATTATTTGGAGGTAGTGAAAACTATAGGAGGTAGAGACTCATCAGAGGAAGTGGATCACTGGAGCTTTGCCCTAGAAGGCTGAAAACTCCTGCCCTTATTCTCTCTCACTTTCTCTCTCTCTCTCTCTCTCTCTCTCTCTCTCTCTCTCTCTCTCTCTCCTTCCTGGCCATTATGATATGAACAGCTTTGCTTCACATCTCCTCCTCATCATGATGTTGTGCCTCACCACAGACCCATTGTGATAGGACCAAGTGACCATGGGTTGCAACCACGATCCAAAATAAATTTCTTCTCTTTTAAGTTGTTTTTTTCTCAGATATTTTGTCACAGCAATGAACAACTGACTAATACAACTCTCAAAATCACTTTTCATAAAATGTTATTCTCTCCTTACCTTCTGTTTCTTCTTTTCATGCTTTCTGGTAATCTTCAAGGATCTTTTTCCAATTGGTGTTTTACAAAGAATGCTTTTACCCTCTTTTTCTGAATGTTTTCCAAGTCTGCTTCTTCAGTACTTATCCTACAAACTACAACAAATCTTCAGACTATGAAAGGCAAATTAAATACTGGCTTTGGATAGGTGTGAGGGAAAGAATATTTTATTGCAAATATATATATATATATATATATATATTTTAAAATCCAATATTGAATAATTATTTTTGTTAGGATTCTGTGGTCATATGAAAGTTTTTAAAGTGTTTTTAAAACAACTTAAATGTAAGAAACTTTCTCTGAGGAATCACATAATTAGCTCCTTAAATAAGAATTTAAGATAATAGAAGGTAATAAGGAAGTTATAGGCAGTTATTCACAGACTGTGTATAATTCTAGCCTTTTGACCACAAAGTAAATAGAAGAAAGCAGTTTGAATTTTATTTCCTGGTGTGATAGAAACAAATATGGAAAGTTTCAAGAATCTTAACATAGTACAATAGTAAATCGTAATATATCAAATCATATAAAAAAACAAAAAAGCAAGCAAACAGGCAAAGACCACAAACAAATAATAGAGGTGTGGGAGAAGGTAAGAGAAGTTATGGCTCTTTTACTGATGTAGAAGAATGTAGTGTCAACATAGGTGCAGGTGACTTTCAAAACTTAGTTAAGCATCTTTCTTTTATGTAAAGACAAAAACTTTACACAACTATTTTTCTGTTTACAATGTATTATATAAACATATACTCAGAAATATGACCATGCAAAATACTATACACAAAATCATCTACATTTTATTTAATATATATGTAAAAAAGACATTAAATTTGACTATAATTTTTCCATTGATTCTCCAATGTCACTTCATTTAAAGAGGTGCTGTTTCATTGCTTTTAGAATGATTAAGTATGAATCTACGGATATACACAGAGTTGTGTTTGTGTGTGTTAATGTGGGTTTTTTGGTATAACTTTTCATTTCCCCAAAACTGAATATAGTAAAATGTATAATTTTTGAAATATTACTTCTCAGATATATTGTGCTTCCTCCAAATATTTGAATCCTTCCACCATTTTTCATAGGTTATGAGACACAGCCATATTTTCAAAAAGGACAGTGACCGTTTCAATCCCAAAAAGTGCTAAGCAAGAGAATCACTATATAGTATTAAATTATGGTCCTCTACAACATTCCCAGTCACACAGTATATTAAAATTCAATATTTTTAATTTGTAATATTTTTTAGTTTTTTAGATTGTTTTTTTGTATCTTTCATGGGACTGCATAATGACAGGCAAACCTTTCCTTGGACTGGAGGAAGCCATCTGGGAAGAAAAGGAGAAAGGCATTTCAGAGTTTAAACATTATTATCCTCGCTTGATTCAAAATCCCTGGCTTTTGGAAGAGAATAAGAATTCATCATCAGACTTGGCATGGGGAAAACAGAGAGATAAAAGCAAGGGAGATATTGAAGTATTTGGACCTGATAGAAAATTCACAGGGATCTCTCATGTTTCAATGGAGATAACAAAAAGCAGTTGAAGTTTACAGTCCTCACAATACACAAGTGCTTCGAGGGCTGGATGCACTAGAAAGGTTTTGATTTCAGAGAACAAATAGGCCTGGAGTTAAGAGACATTGCATTTACAAGCTTGATGAGAGCATTATAAAATTCAGCAGAAAACACATCAGATAGATAACAAGGAGGAGGAGGGAGACTCACCACATGCCATCCATGATACAGTGTCCAAGGTAACTGCAGCAGTCCCTGGGGGACAGACATCAACAACTAGAAGCCAACTGGTAATGAATATCCAAGTGGGATCAATGCCACACACATGTCATGAAGTATATAGACTCCATCCTCTATCCAAATGCCATCTTTGAGAAAATCCAGAAACAGAGAAGAAATAGAAATGAGAACCAGAGAGGAACTTTAATTTACTGAAATGTGAGTACTTAGTGTGAGAAACGTTTGTTCAGTGTGGTGGCCATACTACTGTCAACCATGCCCAGCAATAAAGAGTTACTCAGAAAACTTTTGTTCCATGTCTGAGATTAAAATACCTTTATTTGGCAAGATAAGTGTTTTCTTATCTGACTGTGCAAAAGATAATAATTCAAATATGAAAATTTCATTTTTTGACATACAAATCTTAATTTACATTAAATTTGATATAATCTAACCA